CTCTCCCCCGCCGGTAGGAATTTTCGAGTTGGCAACCCTACATCACATGGTTGAACAACATACTTCAAAAAAGCAAAATTGTGAATGAAGAATTCACAAATGGTGAGGGTCAGCTGCTACTGAAATAATTATTCATATGAACAATGTTTCATTCAGGGAGTGCCCAAGTTGTTGTTGTTCAGTCACACAGTCGAGTCTGACTCTTTGCGACCCCATGGACCAGATCACGCCAGGCCCTCCTGTCCTCCGCTATCCTCTGAAGTTGGCTCAACTTCATGTTCATTGCATCTATGACACTGTCTAACCATCTCATCCTTTGCCGTCCCCATCTTCTTTGACCTTCAATCTTTCCGAGCATCAGGGTCTTCTCCAGTGAATGCTCCCTTCTCATTTGGTGGCCAAAGTATTTGAGCTTCAACTTCAGGATCTGGCCTTCCAGGGAACAGTCAGGGTTGATTTCTGTTAGGATTGACTGATTTGATTTTCTTGCAGTCCAAGGGTCTCTCAAGAGTCTTCTCCAGCACCATAGGTCAAACGAATCTATTCATCGGTGCTCGGCCTTCCTTATAGTCCAACTCTCGCAGCCATACATGACTACTGGGAATACCATTGCTTTGACCGTGCAGACTTTTGTTGGCAGGGTGATGTCTCTACTTTTTATCATGCTGTTTAGGTTCGCCATCGCTTTCCTCCCAAGGAGCAGGCGTCTTTTAATTTCATGGCTGCTGTCACTGTCTGCGGTGATCTGGGATCCCAGGAATGTGAAGTCTGTCACTACTTCCACGACTTCCCCTTCTATTTGCCAAGGAGTGATGGGGCCGGATGCCATGATCTTAGTTTTTTTTATGTTGAGCTTCAAGCCCACTTTTGCGCTCTCCTCTTTTACCCTGAGCAAGAGGCTCTTGAGGTCCTCTTCACTTTCTGCCATCAGAGTGGTATCGTCTGCATATCTGAGGTTGTTGATCTTTTCCCCAGCAATCTTAATTCCCGCTTGTGATTCATCCAGGCCAGCATTTCGCATGATGTACTCTGCATATATATTAAATAAGCAAGGCGACAATATACATCCTTGTCGTACTCCTTTTCCTATGCTAAACCAATCAGTTGTTCCATATCCAGTTCTAACTGTCGCTTCTTGACCCTTATACAGGTTTCTCAAGAGACATGTGAGGTGGTCTGGTACTCCCATCTCTTTAAGGACCTTCCATAGTTTGTTGTCATCCACACAGTCAAAGGCTCTAGCATAGTCAATGAAGCAGATGTTTTTTCTGGTACTCTCTTGCTTTCTCCTTAATCCAGCGAATGTTGGCAATTTGATCTCTAGTTCCTTTACCTCTTCGAAACCCAGCTTGTACTTCTGGCAGTTCTCTATCCACGTACTGTTGAAGCCTAGCTTGTAGGATCTTGACCTTGCTAGCGTGTGATATGAGTGCAATTGTGCGATAGTTTGAACATTCCTTGGCATTGCCCTTCTTTGGAATGTATACTGACCTTTTCCAATCCTGTGGCCACTGTTGCGTTTTCCAAATTTGCTGGCAAATTGAGTGCAGCACTTTAACAGCATCATCTTTTAAGACTTTGAATAGCTCAGCTGGGATACCACCATCTCCACTAGCTTTGTTGTTAGTAATGCTTTCTAAGGCCCATTTAACTTCACATTGCAGGATGTCCGGCTCGAGGTCAGTGATTATACCGTCGTGGTTGTCAAGGACATCAAGGTCTTTCTTGTATAGTTCTTCTGTGTATTCTTGCCATCTTTTCCTAATCTCTTCCGCTTCTGTTAGGTCCCTATGATTTTTGTCCTTTATCATGGCCAGCTTTGCATGGAACCCTCCCTTTATTTCTCCAATTTTCTTGAAGAGATCTCTAGTCCTTCCCATTCTCTTGTTTTCCTCTATTACTCTGCATTGTTCATTCAGGAAAGCCTCCTTATCTCTCCTTGCTGTTCTCTGGAAATCTGCATTCAGTTGGGTAACTTTACTTTTCGCCTTTGCCTTTCGCTTTCCTTCTTTCCTCTGCCCAAGTTGTCACTGTGTAAACTGTGTTGGCCACTGTGAGAAACAGCAGGACTATAAGGTCACTGGTCTGATCCAGCACAGCTGCTCTTATGTTCTAGCTGGTCTAGGGAGTGATAGGCTTGTGAAAATTGTGGGGATAGAAAACAGGAAGGCTAAAACCTTGCCCCAGTGCTTTGGCACCAATCTGAACGTAACCCATGCTCTTAAACTGACTTGTCTTCTTTGATTTTCAGTCTGACCTCTTGGATGGACACATCTCCATTTGCCTGCAGACAACCAGCTTTGACCCTATGTAATAGAGATATAGAATTTTGCCCACAACAGAGGTCCAAGGCAGAGTGCAGTGGAACATATAACTTGATAATATAATTAGAATCTATTTGGGCATTTAAAAAGTTGGATATTCAAGTGGTAGTGACAAAATTAGCTCCAAGATTAACGGAATTGTTCTACTGAACAGCTTCTTGTCAGGAAGTAGAGACACAGAACATGAAGTTCCTGGATCTATTACACTTTCTGGCAAATAGTTCTCTGTTGATATGTTCTTGGCCAAAAATTGTTTGTAAACTAGCGGTTTTTATTTTAAGTCAGCAAGGACCACCTTAATCTGTCATCTTGCAAACAGTTCGATCTATTTCACTACTGGCAAAAAAGAAAAAGTGAGACTACTTTGAAACACACACACACACACACACATACTACAACAATCCTCTCACCACCTGCCCAAAGAGTTTACATGATGGATACTTTGAGGTTGGAGGTATCAAAATAATAACACATTCCTTTGGAGAAATCCAGATGGATCTACTTCAATGAAATACTGATTAAAAGAAGTACTCTGTATAGACCTTATTCTCACTCTTCTAACATCACAGTCCTAAATACATGAACGCAAATGCAAATCTCATTTCTATGCAGTTGACTGGATTTAGCCATACTTTAAGAATAATTATCGTTGATTCTCAGGGATCCGTGAGACAAGTCCTACAGGGAAAGTCTGAAGGAACTAGGAATGTTTAGCCTCAAGAACAGTATTTGAATTACTGCCACCGCTTGAGGTTTTTTTTTCTTTACCCCTAGAGATACCCTCAAGTGTACCTTGGGAAATACTAATGTGGTGCTGTAACTGAGTGCTGTAGCTAGAGGCTGATTAAAAAACAGTATTATTAATATTTAAAAAGTGAAACACATTTCAACTTAAGGCATAACAAGCCAAGAAAAACAATACGAGTAAAAAAAATCCCAATTACTTCAACTTTATATACCCTGTTTAGATATATTAAGATTTTCTATTGCATTGACATCAAGAACATACGGTTTCATTGACTGCTGTGGTAATCAAGCTCTTCCAGGACTTATTTTTCTTAACAGAGTTTACCCATAGTCTTCTTATTAACTTTCTCTTTGCTCAACTGCCACTAATTGACTGGCTTTCCTCATGAATTTTTGAAATGGATTAGAATTCTTTATCTCCCAGATCTAGAGTTCTAACTAATGACATCTTCTCTGTGCCTTTCCCTCTTGAGAGGGGTACCAGACAAGGTTTCTCCTTTTCCTTTTATTTTTTATTGATGTTTGGAACCTCTAGCCTGTGTTATTAGAGAAAATAATAACATTAACGGCTTTGTACATAACTCTTTGGAATGTAAAATTATTCTTTATGCAGATGATTTTCAGTTATTATTTCAGAACGTCAGTCTTCCATTCCTGTATTAAAGAATGTGATTGGAACTTATTTATTTTATTTTTATTTATTTTATTATATTTATACCCCGCCCTCCCCGCGAACGGGCTCAGGGCGGCTTCTGGTGATTTGTCCAGTTATTTGATTAACTGGACAAAATCTGAGTTGATCTCATTGGGATACAACATATCACAGAGTGTAGTGGCTCATGGACATTCTGTTGGTGCCCAGATGTCATTACCTATCTTGGAATCCTGATTCCTAGAAATAACAAACACACGTTCATACTAAATGTTAAGAAGTTGATCACAGATATATCCTTAGAATGGGGCAGATGGGCAAACTTAGACCTTTCTCTATGAGGTTAAGTCAACACACACAATATATCATTAAATCTGACATGGTTTGGAAAAGCCCTGCCCTGAATAGCCCAGCCTAGCTTGATCTCAGAAGCTAAGCATCAGTCCTTATTAGTGTTTGGATGGAAGACTACCAGTGAAGTCCAGGGTTGCGACACAGAGGCAACCCTACTTACCATCTCTGAACGTCTCTTGCCTTGAAAACCCCATAAATCAGCTATGACCTGACAGCAAACAAACAGACAAAAAACCTGGAAAATACTGAAACGATCCAACCACATGCATGCAGGTATTTCCCATTGAATCAGCTGTCACCTTCAGAAGTGGGAGTGTTGGCTCCAAGGAAATGACCACGTAATTGGTCTTTCAGGTCTCACGGAAGCCACTCTAACCAAGCAGCCTCCTTGCAGCTGGGAGAATGTCCAAGGGGCACCAGTGACTCCTTTCTCAGTGAATACTGCTGCTTCTGAGTGTGTGCGTGTGCTTCTGAGTTTCTTGAAAGCAAATGCACCAAATTTTACAAGGACATGCCTTTCAGTGCATTTTATGGTCATGTATCTGTACCCAAAAACGAACTGCAAAGGAGAAGCAGTTCTTGATTTTTATAACAGATATTAGACTACATCTTGACACTTTTTATTTCAGTAGCTTCAGAGTTTAAAATACTCTACACATGATCTCAGTGACCCCAAGTAACAAAAGAAATTGCCAAAATGAACCATTTTTTTCTTTCTGTTGAAAAAGAAAACTAAACTCCGTCTGTACTTTTGAAGCATTAACACAAAATAAAAACTCCAGGCAGTACTAGAGGTACAGAAAATGAATATACATTGGCTAAATTCATGTTATGAAAGTTACAGAACAAACCATGATGATTTTATATTTTTAATAAATAGCCAAGTGCCCATTCTGGATTCCTAAAAGAATATTCTTTATCACTGTGCTGTGCTCAGAAGCTCCCATGATAATCCCTACTTTCCATGTTTAGGTAACAATTATAAAATAAATCTGTCTTAGGAGGAGGAGAGTTTGAGCTCATACAGTAGGGGATATTCTTGCTTATATTAGGTTTCCTTTTTCAGAAAGAAGAATACAAAGAGAAAACAAACATTTGGTGGTATCATTGTCCCCTCGGTATGAGGTAGTATTGTACATGTACTTTTCTTCATTTTGATGTAAAAAAATTAGAATAATTGAATTTTTCATAGAAGAAACAATGTTACCACAGGATTAACCTCCAGCCTAATGAAGGACACTAAAATGATCTCAACTTGATACGTTATACCTATCAAAGCCATAGCTTCAAATATTCATCACAATGACCAGTAATACCATGCTGTGAGTATTCATAGTCCCATTCCACATGCCCTCTTTCCAGAGGAGACAGTATGAAAATTCATACTGATATAGTACAATCTGAATTATGAGTACTTGAACCTATAGCTAGATGGAGACAGAAAATGAAGGTGATTAACAATGGGAATGGCACTTAACTGTTAAGATCTAATCCAACATGAAAGAAGGTTCATAAACCACAGAAATGTGATGAGCTTCAGAAAAAGGGAGAAATTCGTTGGCTACCATATTTTGCGAGTTTGTTTGTCTAGACCAGGAGAACCTTGTTGAGGCTGTCAGCATGTTTGGAATTATGAGAACAGTTGGCTCCACCACAAAATGGCTGCATGGGGGGAAGCAGCCAACCACAAAATGGCTGTCATGAATGTTGGGGCCAATCATAAAATGTTCAAAGGTTTCAAAGCCAAGTATCATCCTATCATGAAGGCACCTGTTTCTGAATAGGTGCTCCCTGAAGACAAAAAAGGTGATTCCTGGTGGGTTCTTCTGAAGCATCTCCTGCTCCAGTGAGGTGGAGGAATGCGTGGGCCATCTTAGCTCCAGCTGCTCTGGGCCCTGTGCCAGGAGGGTGCTCTGCAGCAACCTGCCATGGTTGCCTTTGCCACCATTGGGATGCTAGAACTGATAATGGCAGGTATTGAGGATGGAGGAGCTGAGCAGGGATGCAGGGAGTTCTAAGAAGCAGGTAGTTCAAAATGGACAGAATTAATAGGGGGAGCTCATGGGTTAAAACAAAACACAAGAGAGAAAATAAAGGAAGGGTGTTACGTATTGAGACTGAATCATCCCTGTGTCAGCTATGCTGCCATGGGGGTTGGGGAGCTCGGTCTGTGTCTGGTTAATTGCTACTGCATTCCTTTCTGCTCTTTTTCTGCTTTGCGCCGAAATGCTTCTCTATACAGATGTGCAGGAGGGAGTTGTATTGTCTGGGTTTTTCCTAGGTGCAGTGGGAGAGTGTTGGTTCTCAGCTTTAGCTACCGAACAGTCTCCAAGCTTTATCCCGCGCGGGGGAGGGTGCCTAATTGGCCAGTGCTCTGGGGGGGTGCATATGAATACCCTATATCCTATTATGCCCATGGGGCCGCCACCATTCTTAACAGTGCTTATGTTACTGCATCTATAGCTCTGCAATAAAAGTATTACCGTTCTTGAATGCGTATACTTCATTGTTGGCTGTGGGTTCTGACACCCTGATTGAATCACCCCAGAGACTGGATGAGCTTGGAGCATAAGAACAATAGCTGACTCCGGAATAAACCAATCAAGTAGTAATGTTATGTAAATAGCCTATCACTGGGAGTGGGGTGTGTTTGGGTGTGGCAACTGCATGCTATTTAACAGAGCTGAGGCTCTGGAGTCTTGTCTTGTAGTTTTGCTGAAGTCACTGAATAAACCTGAGCTGATCACTGCCATGCATCTAGAACCCAGTATTTAATAAAGGGGTAAATCAAATCCTGGGCTTGGCTGTGGGCTTATGGAAGGCTGTAGTTCGATCGTTCCCTGTGAGAGAAGGACAAAATTCCCCCTCCTCAAGCAACACAGCAGTTTCTCCCCCTCCTTTAACAACACCACCCGTGCAGGAGCAGAGCTCCAGCAGTTTTATAGCACATGTGCTGAGGTGGACTATGTGGTTTTATGGCTCTCCCCTCTGCTGCAAAGTGGGGAGTTAACCTTTGCTCATTTCTGTATGTTTCTTTTCCCTTCTCACTGGGGAGCTGCATTGCCTGCCCCACTTCATCTACCCCCTGCAAACTGGCTGCCTCTTCTGACGTCTACCTAGGAAAAAGTGGTCAGGTTCTCTTTATCTCAGCGTGAGGCAGCTACACACACCCACACAAACATAAATTGGGGGGGGGAATCCATAACAAAGAGGATTAAGGGCTACAATAAGTATTCAAATCAGCATGTGAAATTTGATTGTCACTATTCCAAAATCAGTGCAGTAGTTCCCAAACTCACTTTAGGGGGCACATTGCCCGAGGACTGGTTTTGTTTTTACCATGTCTCCCCTTATCTTCCTCTCTCCCTTGGCAATCAGCAACGGCAGGTTCTGCCTCCCCCTCCCATCACCATCTCTCAGGAGGCAAAGAGGGTAAGAGGCAGATATGGATAGACTGCTTTAGTTTATGCGTCTTAACAATTTAAGTATTTTTTTTCATTTATACCTCAGTTTTCTTCTTGATGAGGACCCAGACAGTCTCTTTTATCTCCACAACAGACCTGTGAGGTAGGTTAAAATTAGTGGGTTGGATAGGAATAAAAGAGGTATTAGAGCTGGTAGTGTGGAGGGCTCCATCATGACTAAGACTGCTTTTTTAAAAGCCAGGATTCGCTCTTAGTTTGAGGCAAGAAATGCTTTGGTAAAGGAGAACGTGGGCATGAGAAAAACAAACACAAAAACCTGCCAGGCACCATGTTGGGGACCATTGATCTATATGTTTCATATAGTATTTAAGATAGGAGAATTTAAGAACCTATCCAGTGGTTACTAAAAAACTCCAGAAGATATTAGTTTGTTGAAATTTTTGTAAATAATTGGTTTGATCTCAGATTCCAATTCTGAGCCAGCCAGTTAGATTGGTTTACTAAGGCCCCGGTCACACGGGAGGTTTAGGCCCGGAAGAGGGACGGATTGGGGCGCAGCAAATGGGCGCGATCACACTGCAACATCTGGGAAGTGGCGCACACCCGTCCTTGATCCGGCCCTTCAGGCTGAAAATGTGCATAAAAAAAGAACCTGCAAAAGAGCAGGACTTACCTGAAACGCCACAGCAAGCATGGCCATGGGATTGCCGGCGCGCCTGTCTTCAGGAGCATTCGAGGCTCCCGACCGAACTGCGCATGCGCACACATGTGCAGCTGGCTGCCTCGTTCTTCCTTCAGTGGCTCCCCCCCGGCATCTGATTGTGCCGGGGAGCAACTGTGCGGCGGCTCAGGGGATCTGTCTGATCCCGCCACCGCGTGTCTCTTTTGGTGCGGCTCTGAAAAGCCGCACTTTGGCCGTGCTCTCCCCCCCCACCATGTAGCAGGGGCCTAAGTCAATTTATTTTAAAGAAGAACTCAGAGTAGATAAAAATACACAAGACTAGATGTCAATATTCATGAGAAGATCCAAAAATATTAAGGATCTGTCCTAGGAGACTTAGATAAGCTTTAGTAAGTGAAGATTTTTGCCAATACCTATTGAAGTCTTTTCCCATCGTGATTAAATTTGTGTAACCCTGAAGGTTTGGCAGCAAAATATTATGCAAATAATAGCCTACTCAGAAGTCTTTAGAGAGAATTTTTATAGGTTCTTTTTAAAAGAATGCAAAGTAGTGAAATTCAAAGTCATTATGATGTCAATGAGAACTCCACAGATGCAAACTCCTGAATGAAAATTACTTCCATGGCTTTTTTATTTATGTAGGCTGAAAAGGGGAGTTGATATTTTGAAAAATATTGACTATGCTAACCTACCTTTTTTTGGACCTACGTACAATGATTTTGGGGAGTACAAAACCATTCCATGGCATAGAAAATAAGCAATGATTGAAGGTAATGGTGTTGGTCTATTAGGGAAAAAAGTTCCCAAACCAAAAGGCCACGAGATAGTGACCATACTTTTAAGTTCTCCACATTTCTTCATTGGGAAGGATTTTTTTTTTTAAAAAAAACCAAACCAGAAGCAGGGGGAAGAGAGGGTGGAAATAATTCTTAAGGGCATGATGGGAAAGCCCCAGGTCTGTATTTATTTTTTGTTAGAGAAAACAACATCTGACATGGCTTGAGAGATATCCACAGAGTTTGGATTAGGGATGGTCAAGTACCTTATGGCTTGGCTCATGTTCTGATCACTAGGGGTGATCAGGGAAACCATTTAGTGATGGGCTCTTCAGCTGTTTGTGACTATTTGGTACAGACAGAAAAATTCTTGCTGTGTCCCAGCCTTGTGGGATGCAAGAAGAAGGTTTTTTAGGGGGCGGGGTGGTGGTGGTTCAGAACTAATTCTTAGCTGATCCTGCAATCAGCTGAGACTCAGCTTGTCATCTTAAACAGGGCAGCTGCAAATTTGTTTGACACCAGTTTGAGCTATGCCATGCCAAGGTAAAGAGATCTGGGATTTAGCTCACATTTGACTTGTGGCAGTCTAAACCAGTACAGTTGGCTGCCAAACATATATTGGCGCAGGCCTCTTTGTAAGCCGCCCGCCCCTCCCTGAGCCCATGCAGCGAGGAGGGCGGGGTATAAATTGAATAAAATAAATAAATAAATAAATAACACGATCATAACAAAGTTCTCAGAATCCTGAATTTGGATGGTAAGGGAACGGATAAGGAGGAAGTGGAAGTACACATAATATAGCACATGAAAAGCTTCCAAAATATCCCCTTCATCTGCCGGAGACCCTAGAGAACATGTTGCCAGCCAGAAAAACACAAGCCCTAGCTCTGACTTACTGTGTGCCATGTTTGCAGCCCAGATTCAGAGTGGGCAAGGAAGGAGGCCTAAGGGGTCTTGAGGTGGAGCCATTAAGTGGCATGCCCAGTTCAGAGGCTGTCAGCTGGCTCTCACTACCAGGTGGCATAGGGGAGCCACATAGTGGCCGGGGCCCACGTGATCCCCGGGGCTTGCC